TAGAAAAAGATGGATTTGAGTGGCTATATTCGCCTGTGTTCAAACATAGGGCCGTCTTATCAACAAGGGCTCACTATGGCAGCAGCTTTCAATGGACAGACGGTAAAGGAGTTTCTGGCCGAAAAACATAAAGCTAAGGGCAAAAGATGTTTTAAGTGTGGTAAGAGTGGACATTTTTCCCAGGATTGTAAGGCAGATAATGTTCAGCAAAAGACTGATGATGGGAAGAGTCCTAGATTATGTCCCAGATGTAGGAAGGGGAGACATTGGCTCCAAGATTATAAATCTAAAACTGATATTGAAGGGAGACTTCTACTTGCTCTTCAGGGAAACTGGTGGAGGGGCCAGCCCCAGGCCCCGAAACAAGCATTTGGGGCAGTCAATCTCATGCCCACCAACAGCAACAATCCGTTTCTAGCCTCTGCAGAACAACCCCAGGAAGTGCAGGACTGGACCTCAGTTCCTCCTCCCACACAGTATTAACTCCAGAGATGGGAGTTCAGACCATAGGGACTGGAATTTATAGACCACTACCCAAAGACACTTGTGGGCTAATATTAGGGCAAGGTAGTGCTGCCCTGAAAGGCCTATCTGTTGTGCCTGGGATAATTGATGCAGATAATACTGGAAAAATTAAAATCATAGCCCGAGCTGTTGACAATATAGTCACTATTCCCCAGGGGAAAAGCTTTGCTCAAATAATTTTGGTACCTCTGGTTAAATCTGGTCACTCTGTTCAAAGTAAAAATAAAGGTAATAAAAACTTTGGTTCTTCTGATGCTTATTGGGTTCAGGACATTACACATAAAAAGCCTACATTAACTTTATGGCTTGATGGAAAAAGATTTGATGGTCTTATTGATACTGGAGCTGATGTTACTATTATTTCTGCTGAGGCCTGGCCTGCAGCCTGGTCCACGGTGGAGACTCTGACTAATTTAAAAGGTATAGGGCAGAGTCAAAATCTAAGACAGAGTTTGAAATGTCTCACTTGAAAGGATTCTATGAATAATTCTGGCTTGATTAAACCTTTTGTGGTTCCTTATTTACCAGAAAACCTGTGGGGAAGGGATTTGCTTTCACAAATGGGAGTTGTGATATGTAGTCCCAATGATGTTGTTACTGCACAGATGCTTGCTCAAAGATATGCCCCTGGCAAGGGGTTAGGAAAAAAAGAAGATGGACAATTGTTTCCAATACCAATCCAAGGTCAAAATGATAAGCGAGGTTTGGGAAATTTATGATGACAGCCATTGACAGTCCTACACCCTCAAACTGTGTGGATCGTATAACCTGGCAATCAGATGATCCTGTTTGGGTAGATCAATGGCTGTTCACAACAGAAAAATTGACAACAGCCACTCGCTTGGTGCAGAAACAATTTGAAGCAGGGCACATTGAAGAGACTTGTTCTTCATAGAACACACCCATATTTGTTATTTTAAAAAAATCCAAAAAATGGAGGTTACTACAAGATTTAAGAACAATTAATTCCACTATGATTCTTATGGGGGCGTTACAGCCAGGTTTGCCCTTGCCAGTTGCTATACCACAAGGATATTTTAAGATAATACTAGATCTTAAGGATTGTTTTTTCACTATTCCCTTATATCCTGATGATCGTAAACGCTTTGCTTTTAGCCTTCCTTCTATTAATTTTAGAGAACTTATGAAAAGATACCAGTGAAAGGTTTTGCCTCAAGGGATGGCCAATAGCCCCACATTGGGTGCCACACTGCGGGAGGCCACCCCACAATGTGACTTGGTTCTGACCCGCAGAACTTCCATGAAGTACCTGGATTGGTGGGTGGGGCCGTAGATGAGGCAAATGACAAAAAAGATGGAGACAAGACAGGAGTCTGATCAAGTCTCGTTTATTGAAGCTCAAGCATGAGTTTTTATAGAGAATGAAAACAAAGACACACAAACTACAAACCATTACATCAGTCAGAGCATGAGGGCTCTGACGCAAATTAAGGGAGGAATCTCTGATTATAAAAGAATAGGAACATATGCTAAAAAAGAAAACAAGGCCATGGGCTATCTGGCCCCGGCTTCAAGCCAAGGTTTTGGGCCAAGGTTGTGAGCCCCAGCTGCAAGCCAAGGCCGTGGGCCCTGGCTGCCTGCCAGGGTTTCCAGGCCAAGGCTGTGGGCAAAATGAAAAGCTGCCAGCTTAGGCCTGTCAGCAGTTTTGAGAGGTAGCTGAGACTCAGTTGAACCTCAGGCTCCCAGGCTCCCAACAGATTCAGATCTTTAACATTAAAGGCTCCATGCCTGACTGTGGAAACATCTTGGCTGAGTCTCTTTGTATTACATGGGGAGATCTAATATAAGGCTTTTTCAACATGAAGAAAGGTGCAGACTACTCTCATGAGTATTAATCTTCCAGGACACACATGATACTTCCTAAAGGCACCCAAAATATCACTATGAGACTAACAAAAGATAATACTGTACTATATGGACTTATTAGGTAAAAGTACTTGGAAGCAATCTCAACAACCTGTGTTCATTGGAATAACCAGAACCCACATATGTGCTCAGGACTTTTGCAATATGAAAATACTCTGGAAATGAATTTACTTATACCAGAAAATCAACTTTATTCCAGCCTGTTTCTAATGCAAACAGTCCTCCCAAGATCATGAGTTCCTCTTGTAACATAAACATAGCTCAAATTTCCCATTACCTTTCCTTGCCCTTCACCCAGAGGTTTTGTGTGTGTGTGTGTGTGTGTGTGTGTGTGTGTGTGTGTGTGTGCGTATTATGTATGTGAGTGTCGAAAGCACTACAAGCATAATTATTCTTTGGAAATAATGAAGACGCGATTATTCCATTTGTATTGAAAACAATACATGGGATTCAATGGATAACATCTGTTTCTTGTATGTTTGTGTGTTTTGGAATAGAAATCACATGAGGCAAAATTATATAATAAGTTAAAAGTATGGCTTTTACTTCCCCATTTTACTCTGGATATAGTGTTTCAATAAAGCACAGCTCCAGGAAAATCCTGAAGGAGCAGGTTCTCAGCAGTTCAGGTCTGCTCTTCACCTTAAAATGGAAGATAGATGTCAGCCTGTTTTCATACAGGCATAATTATAATGCTACAGTGCATAGTAAACACCACACACCTAGAAATCAGAGGTATTGGTGAAGAGTCTGTGATCCCAACAGCCCTAGGGAAGTGGGTGATGGAAAGAGATCATCCAGAATCTTGTGTTCCAGCTTTTCTGGTGATGCAGTGGTGGAGACTAAGTCTCCAGAAAAGAACAAAGCTAAAATATATTTGAAAGGCAATGAAATGGACACTTGCAAACACTCAGCTCTATGTTTCTCTTTCTCATTCTCACACACACACACACACACACACACACACTCATATACACACCTAATGTAAATAACAATAAAAGAAAGAAGAGTACACACTAAAGAATTCCATTCTATTCACATCCAGTAGTAATCAGCAATATACTACTTAATAAAATTTCTTAAGTATAGAATAAAAACAAAATGAAAATCTGTAATCGATATTATTTTTCACTCAGTACACTTGTTAAAATAATAGTACAATAGTATTTCATAAATTGTAATAATGTATCTCTTTGGTACAGAATTCAAGATAAAGCAGAATTTATATATTATTGCAGGTAAATTGAAATATATAATATGTTAAGCAGCAGAATGATGAAAATTGTTGAAGGCTGTGTCTTGATAAAACACAAATTTGCTGCCACTGGAACACAATAATCAATGTGATGTACATTTATATCGAAATAAACAGCTTGAAAAATCAAAATAAATATGAACAGAGAACATTTTTACCACCACGAACCATGGAATTTTAACAACTAAAATGTTTTTAATCAAAGGCAAAAATTAAAATGTAAAATTAAATGGAAATATGGGGAAATGATTATATATTTTGGTTGTGTTCCGTAACTTGAACAATTATACATCAATAAAAATTAGGAAAGATAAAATATTAATTTTTGTTTACCAAGTCAAGATTATTCTGTAGCCCAAAACAGACTAGAAATTGCAATACACCCGAGTTGGCCTTGACCTCAAAGAAATTCATATTTCTCTGCCTCCCAGAGTGCTGGGATCAAAGCATACACCACCATGCCCAGCTTTTAAAGTAAGACTATTATGAGAATTCCTCACAACTCTCTATTCTCTTCATATGCCAAGCTATTTCTATTTCTTAGGCAAAGAATACAAGAGTTCTCTAAATTTATTGCATGAAAAATACCGAAATAGAGGGCTTCATAGGATTCACATGGTCCTTCATTGCTAATGGTCATATTTAATGTTTTAGTAGTTTTGTAAACTGATTTGTACAAACCAGCAACACAGTTCCAGTTTTGTAATATTTGATTCAAAGACATTCTTTGCAGTTACGAAGAATATGACTTCAATTGTATTCCTGTCTCAAAAATAAAAATAAATTAATATAAGTGAATAGCTGAAAGCTTAATGTATTTCATGTGGATTATGTTGAATAATATGCAGTGTGTAGAATTAGTATACTTAAAATATAAAAATATGCATATTTACTTATTGTAATATATAAAACTTGTGTGGACAGACAGCAAAATTGAAATGGGCAATCGAAATTAAATGGTTGAATTTACCATCAAGTGTTTGGAGATTAGAATTATAAGTACATGGCATGACCATTTACTAGTGTTGTGAGATTGCACATGCACATGTTCTAAGTGTGCTATAATTCTTGATGAACCCACTTAGGTGTCTGTGTATGCACTGTGAGCATCTGGAAATGCTGGGCCTGTATTACTAGGTTATATTTGTGTATTTTCCCTTAACATGAAAGAACAAGAATGGTTTCGATGCCTAAGTTAGAGAATTCAGAGGAGGGATTTCTGTAATGACAATGGACAGAGATATGGTTTACACAAAAGAGATTATTACATATTGCTAATAAAGCACATTGACATTCCATTTACCAAAAAATGTCTTTTCCATAATTTTGCCCACTAAGAGCAACAAGAAAAAATTAATTTTCCTCCAGGGAATCTGTCACTTAACAGCAACTTTCTTGCAGCTGTTTTCATGGCCTCATTCTTCAGGCTGTAGATAACAGGGTTGAATGTTGGGGGAAGTACTGTGTAAAACATAGAGAGCATGAGGTCTAGAGCAGTTGTTGAGTCTGAAGTTGGCTTCAGATATGCAAAGATACCAGTGGTGATACAAAATGTGACCACACAGAGGTGGGGCAGGCAGGTGGAAAAGACCTTAGACCGACCTTCCGCAGAGGGCATCCTGAGGACTGTGGAGAATATCTGGACATAGGAGAGGCAAATGGCAGTGAAACAGGCGGTTCCCACCACAACCATGAAAGCAACTGCCCCAACCACACCAATGTAATCATTGGAGCAGGAGAGCTTGAGCAACTGGGGGATATCACAGAAGAACTGGTGGATTATTTTTGCCCCACAGAATCTGATAGAGAATGTGGTTGCTGTGTACAAGGTTCCTGTGATGCCTCCGCTTATCCACACAGCTGTCACAGCCAACCTGCACACTCGGGGACTCATGATGACCTCATAGTGAAGTGGGAGGCAGATGGCCACATAGCGGTCATAGGACATCACTGTGAGAATGGCCACCTCACCCCAGGCAAAGGATATGAAGAAGAAAACCTGCAGCATACACTGAGCGTAGGAAATGTATCCACTTCCTGCCAGGGAATTGTGGACTGACTGGGGGACAGTGACAGACAGGGAGGAGAGGTCGAGAAGGGACAGGTGCTTCAAGAAGTAATACATTGGAGATTGGAGCTGTGGGTCCAGCGTTGTGATGGTGATGATAATGAAATTACCTGCCAAGCCCAACAGGTTCATCACCAAGAAAAGAAAAGCATGTAAAATCTGCAGCTCCCGGGTGTCAGAAAACCCCAGGAGGAGGAAGCCACTTGCTGTGGTTACATTTATCATAATCATTTTGAGAATGGAAATTGTGAGGGCACCTGGAAAATAAAAATAGAAATGAAGTAAAAGATAATTTAATAAATTATGACTTTAATCAGCATTGCTTGTTTCAACAACTAATAGTAGAGAACCTGTAAATTATCAGTTTTCCTTAATGTGAAAATTGAAAGATGAAGCTCCCAGTCTTACATATGTGGGGCTCACAGTTTTATTAGGAAACCAGTTGCTGCAGGAGGATGGACCTGAGACCAAGTTAGTGGACTATCTCAGAAAAAAATTTTGGATTTACTCCATAAAAATTGTTCTTCTCTTTCCACTGGTAAAACTTATTACTGTAGTCAGTAGAAATACAGTGGTGGGATATTGGTGAAAGGTTTCTTTTCTTTAACTTCGGTACATTTGTGTGGTGCACTGAGTTTAAGCAGCTCGTATATGATCCTGTAAAGAAAACTTGACTTCGAACTTGAACAATAGTTCTCTGTGGGTAGTTGACATTAGCATTCTTTCTAGCAGACACCATGGCCATCACAATGAGAAGCTGCTTTACTTTGGCCCCTAGGGACTGAATGGGTTGTGAAACTTTTTCTGTTACAATCATAGTCAGTGCACCTGCAATTTAATTCAAAGAAAGAATACTGGTGCTCGGGTAAATAAAGTAAAAAGTAAACAATTAAAATACAGGTTTATTTATTCACATAAAATTCTTACATATTTATCTCAGGTTGGGTGTTTACCTTCTTGCGTTCAGTATTATCCAGTGTTTAGGAATTTCTCTTTGGTTTTTCCTTGTACTTAACTCCTGTTTACATCACTTGCTCAGTTACAACCATGGAATAATTACTGAACACTCACTATAAGCAGCAGCAGGTGAAAAGAAAGTAAAAATGCGTGGAATGGGTTAACATTGGAAGGACAGCATTCACACCTCAGGGTGTAACTGCAAAAGTAGATGACATTCCCAGGGATCTACCTTCCTGATAACAGAGAGGTCAGTTTTTATTTCCTGATCCACAGAACTTTGTAGACTAGAGATGGTGTGTAAAGACTGATCAGAGGCCAGTGCTGATGCTCACTCATCTCCTGGTCATTTGTGGTGTGGGCAGCAAGTACACGTGGCTATCTACTTGTGCTTTTGTTTTTCTTTTCCCTGTGCAATCTCATGCTTCCTTGTGTCCAGGTGACTCGTCAGCTTAGATATAAGGTCTGATAGAATTCTCAGTAAGGCCAGAGCGCCATGCCTTGTAAACCTGAGATAGCCAATTTTGTGTATCTCATGCTGATATCTCCTAGCAACAGCACAGCAAATTTTCCCTTCTCATGATTTTTTTTTATAGAGAATTAACCTGACATCTGTGACACTATTTCCTATTCACTGTTCATTGTTCGGTTTAAAGTAAAATTCTGTATTTGGTATGAGAGTGATGAAATAAGTCTTTAATTTCAACATTCAGATGAGTCTGGGGGTGGGGGAGAGAGAGATTGAGAGAGATCAAAAGAGAGAGAGAGAGGGAAGAGAAGAGAGAAGAGGAGAGAAAAGTAAAGAATACATATATAGCTGAATATTGGAATATTTTCTGGCAACTTAAAAATTGCTGGATGCTTATTCTGTGTACTGGAATCACACATTTTACTTGCGTAATTTCACCCATCTATTGATTCTCAAAAACACCTCTAACCAGTTTTCAACCATGCTTACACAAATTAAACATACAGTTTTTTCCTGTTTCTTTTCTGTAAAGTGAGCTTTCTTTCTGGCTAGGATCATAGACTTACCTTTGAAAACTTAATTTGAAGAGTATACAGAGGTCAGAATTTCCATGAAATCCCTCATTCCTCATCCAAGAACTGAAAACTCACAGACGTCTTGGTGTGCAGGTAGCTCTCCAGACTGATTGTTGAGTTCTGCCAATTCCTGGTCACAGTCACTGATTTTCAAAATGTATTTCACCCCCTGGGTACAGGTTTGCATCAGGATTTCTTTGGGGATGTGGGATCATTGCAAAAGGAAGCCTGAATTTAATGACCAGAACTCCCCACTTCCTTTCTGTCATCTGAGTCTTAAGTCATTAGAACTCCAGGCAATGGGAGAGGAAGGTGGGAAGCTTAGATTTTGTTGTCTCCAGCTCAGTGCTTCTCAGTTCTCATCTGACCTGAGAATCTGCTGGGGAGGAGGTGACAGCTCAGGGACCTGAGCCCCACACTCAGAGATTTTGACACATGAAGTCTCAGGTGACACCAGTGCTCCCAGAATCCCAGGAGCTACTGCTGTGGTCTGAGGACCAAGGTGGAGTATCACTGTGTAGATAGATAAGTCATGCATTTCTGAGATTACAGGAAACTTTGACATTTATTGATACAATAAATTCATTAATGAAAGACTTCTAGAAAAATAGGAAGTGTTTACTGTTATTCATGAAATTGAGATGTACATATTAATTTCAGAATATCATCTGTTATGAAGACTCATGACAGTATCCACTATGAAATTCTAAAACACGGCTTGCCTAAAAACCACTCAAAATGACCCAGACAATAAAGATAATACAATATTACAACACCTCTTTCTGTACAAATGGGAACAAGCTAACTCCATAATATTGCTTAAGGTATTTCTGAATTCTCTGATCTTGTACAGATATAAATAATATTTTAGTGCTAACCTTATGAATATATATTCATATAATTTGTAATTCATATTATCTACTCTGTAGTTTCATCTGGGTTATGCAGTTATGTACTAATTATATTTAAATAGCACCTAGCAGGTCTCAAGAGGTGGCTCAGTACTTAAGAGCACTAGCTGCTCTTGCGGAGGACTTGCATTGGGTTCCCAGCACTCACATGCTGGCTAACAACTGTGTGTAACTTTAGTTCCAGGGATCCAACACTCACTTCTGATCTCCACAGGCATTTCACAAACGTGGTACACTTACATGTATGTATACAAAACACTGTTGTATGCAAAATAAAAATAAATTAATTACTTAAATCAAAAAAGGAATTAAAATACATTAGATTTTATTTAGATTAAAATTCATGCTTACAATAGCCCAGTTCAGCCCAGAGTACATAGACCTGAGGTTAACCTAGCAATCCTTGGATCCTATATTCCTTTAACGCCTATTCTATAAAATTATTTCTCATATAAATGGAAAGTCTGTGAAAGTAGGTCACCATCTCTCCAGATTCCTCTTTTTCTCCCCCAATTTAGAGAATGCCCTCTTAAAACTTTTTAGGAGAGAGAGGTGATGTAGTTTGATGTGGCTCTGCAGTCTCCCTCCACTTGCAGCTACAAAACAACCTAATGTTTTTCTTTTAAAATGCTTTGTTAAAGCCAGGCACAGTGGTACATGCCTTTGATCCCAGCACTCAGGAGGCAGAGGCAAATGGATCTCTGTGAGATCGAAGCCAACATGATCTACATAGTAAATGCTAGTCCACTTGTGTCTACAGAGATACCTTGTCTCAAAAAGATCAAATTTATTATTTATTTTATTGATTGATTGATTGATTGATTGATTTCCCAGCCTGTGACCACCAGCCTGTAGGCTAGGTCACATGGTATTACATCCATCTCCTTGGAAATCTGTCAGTCCCTTTGTCTTATGGGACTGAAGGCTCTCTCTCACTTTTAGAGCTCATCACACTGCCTATACTATGTTGGTACAAATCCCTTAATGTTCTGGATCTGCAGGGTGTGTCTCTTCCTTCAGGACTCTCAGCATACTCTGTGGCTGTCTCTCTTAATGCTGTCCCTTTCAGAGCCTCATCATGGCTGCCTGTGACCTTGAGCCTTTAACTCTCCTAGGAAAACCCCCTTTTTGCTTTATACTTTCTAATTTATAACAGTAGCATATGTTATTTATTCATATTCTTCAAAATCCTGATTTCAGTATCAGTGGTGAAACAGGTACTTTTCTATCTTTACTACACACCCTGGTGACTTGGATTTTATGCCTCCATCACTATCACACTCATGTATACGTGATAAAACTCTATTGATTGTTTCCTTAACTATGAATACATAATGTAATAAAATATTATATCCTCTACTATTGATTTTTTGTAGTGAAAATAAAATTATGATGGAAACCCCCAGTTCTGGGGAATTCAATGCCCCCTGCTGCACATACATACTCAGGCACACACTCATGGACAGAAAACATAAAAAATAATTATAATTTTAAAAGTATTAAATCATTGATGTTTTAGTCAAAATTTTGTCATAATCTAGCCAAAATTTTACATAATAAAATATTTTGACATTTGTTTTATGCGGCTAGTAAATATGTTGTAACATTCTACAAAATAAACTAGTGACCATAAGAATGCTGGAGAAAATTGAGGATATTCAGCTTTAGCATCCATTCATAACTAAAGCACTGAGTTCTTGAGCACACACAGGTGAAAAGTAAACTTTTATTCTGGTATCAAGAGTCCACAGAAAGACTAGAGAGGATTCGTCCTTCTTATTTTTTTACTTTTATTTTATACTATATTTCCTGCACGTGTGTAAGTACACCCGATCATACAATGCCCAAGGAGGTCAGAAGAGGGTGTCAGGTCACCTGGAACTGGAATTATGGGCCATTGTTAACTGGGTGCTGGGAAATGAACCTGGGTCCTCCCCAAGAACAGCCAGTGCTCTGAACTGCTGAGCCACCTCACTAACCCGTCATCATGCTTATAAGAAAATTGTTCCCATTTCTCTTTACATTTTAGAACTGAAGAATGGTCAATAACTACTTCTCTAACAACCAGTGTACATTTAGACAATGGAGTTCTACTCAGCAGTAAAAAAGATGAATTCACCCTGTAGACCATGCTGGCGTTGATCTTGCTGAGATCCACCTGACTCTGCCTTCTAAGTGCTAGAATTAAAGTGGTGTGTCACCACAACCAGTTTAAGGAGCCTTTTAAAATGCAGAGAATAAGCATCTGCAGTTTGCTCAGCCACAAATGGAATATCTATATCACCACCCTTCCCCTAAGGCTCAAGGACCATTTTGGAA